CTGGTTTTAAATATTTTTTAAGAACTATTTTTAAAAATGTTTTTGAAGGTCCGTCAGTGGCGTAGACTTTTTAAAAACATTTGTTCCAGGCCTTCCAGAAGCGTGGATTTTTTTTTTCAAGAAAAAATATTGCCGTGGATTAAGGTCTGAAAGAGTCGTGGATTTTTTTAAATATTTTTTCAAAACCCGTCAGAGTCGTGAATTTAAAAAATGTTAAGGCTTGTAAGAATCGTAGATCATTTTTTAAGGCCTGTAAGAGTCGTGGATTTTTTTTAAATGTTTTTTTTTAAACTGCCAGAGTTTAGGATTAAAAAAAGATAAGGCATGGGTGAGCTGTGGATTTTTTTAAAACCTGCCAGAATTGTGGATTTAAAGGCGTGTAAGAGTCTTGGATTTTTACACCCTTCACCACATTGTGGTACATGGTATTATGTCTTTGTGCATATGTTTGTAACAGGCAAAAGGAAACGAGATAGGCACATGGTTTCTTTTGAGAATATGCATAGAATCACTTTCTAAGTCGATTTATGCATGTCCGTCTGTCCGTCCGTCTGTCTGTCCAAGTTAAATTGTAAACAAAGTACAGGTCGCATTTATGATCCGATTTGGATGAAAGTTGGCATGCGTAACTTATTTGGCCCAAGGACGAACCCTATTGAAATTGGGAAAAATCGGTTCAGATTTACATATAGCTCCCATATATATTTTCGTCCGATTTAAGGTAAATGATCCACCAAAATTTCGTGAAAATCGGTTCAGATTTAAATATATAGTTTCGTCCGATTTAAGGTAAATGGTGCACCAAAGTCTCTATAAAACTTTCGATTTGCACGACATTTTGCACAGCGAACTGAATTAGGAGTAGAATGATGTGTGTTAAGTTTCGTGAAAATTGGTTCAGATTTAGATATAACTGCCATATATAATTTCGTCCTATTAAATGTAAATGGTGCACCAAAGTCCATATATATCTTTCGATTTGTAAAAAAATTTGGCACAGAATAATGAATTAGGTCTAGAATGATGTGTGCTATGTGAATAATACCTGCAGCTCTTTCATAGGAGGAATATCTGCAGCTTTTTCACAGGAAGAAGAATACCTGCAGCTCTTCCACAGGGGGAAAAATACCAGCAGCTCTTCCATAGGAAGTTAAATTCCTGCAGCTCTTCCACAGGAAGAAGAATACTTGCAGCTCTCCTATAGGAAAAAGAATACCTTGGGCTTTTTCAAAGAAAGCAGAATATCTGCAGCACTTCCAACGGAAAAAATACCTTGAACTCTTCCACAGGAAGAAGAATACCTCCAGATATGTTTATGTTTTCATGACCTGTCGGTCTCTCAGAGGCGTGGATTTAAAAAAAAATTCATGGCCTGTCGGTCTTTCAGAGGCGTCGATTTTTTAAAAATATTTTCTCATGGCCTGTCGGTTTTTCAGAGGCGTGGATTTTTTAAAAATATTTTCTCATGGCCTGTCGGTCTTTCAGAGGCGTGGATTTTTTAAAAATATTTTTTCATGGCCTGTCAGTCTTTCAGAGGCGTGGATTTTCTAAAAATATTTTTTCATGGCCTGTCGGTCTTTCAGAGGCGTGGATTTTTTAAAAATATCTTTTCATGGCCTGTCGGTCTTTCAGAAGCGTGGATTTTTTTAAAAATATTTTTTCATGGCCTTTCGGTCTTTCAGAGGAGTGGATTTTTTTTTTAAATATGTTTTAATGGCCTGTCGGTCCTTCAGAGGCGTGGATTTTTTTAAAAATATTTTTCCATGGCCTGTCGGTCTTTCATATTTTGTTCATGTCCTGTCGGTCTTTCAGAGGCGTGGATTTTTTAAAAATATTTTTTCATGGCCTTTCGGTCTTTCAGAGGCGTGGATTTTTTAAAAATATTTTTTTCATGGCCTTTCGGTCTTTCAGAGGCGTGGATTTTTTAAAAATATTTTTCCATGGCCTGTCGGTCTTTCATATTTTTTTCATGGCCTTTCGGTCTTTCAGAGGCGTGGATTTTTTAAAAATATTTTTCCATGGCCTTTCGGTCTTTCAGAGGCGTGGATTTTTTAAAAATATTTTTTCATGGCCTTTCGGTCTTTCAGAGGCGTGGATTTTTTAAAAATATTTTTTTCATGGCCTTTCGGTCCTTCAGAGGCGTGGATTTTTTTAAAAATATTTTTCCATGGCCTGTCGGTCTTTCATATTTTTTTCATGGCCTTTCGGTCTTTCAGAGGCGTGGATTTTTTAAAAATATTTTTCCATGGCCTTTCGGTCTTTCAGAGGCGTGGATTTTTTAAAAATATTTTTTTCATGGCCTTTCGGTCTTTCAGAGGCGTGGATTTTTTAAAAGTACTTTTTCATGGCCTTTCGGTCTTTCAGAGGCATGGATTTTTTAAAAATATTTGTTCATGTCCTGTCGGTCTTTCAGAGGCGTGGATTTTTTAAAAATATTTTTTCATGGTCTGTCGGTCTTTCAGAGGCGTGGATTTTTTAAAAATATTTTTTCATTGCCTGTCGGTCTTTCAGAGGCGTGGATTTTTTAAAAATATTTTGTTATGGCCTGTCGGTCTTTCATATTTTTTTCATGTCCTGTCGATCTTTCAGAGGCTTGGATTTTTTAAAAATATTTTTTCATAGCCTGTCGGTCTTTCAGAGGGGTGGATTTTTTAATTTTTTTTTCATGGCCTGTCGGTCTTTCAGAGGCGTGGATTTTTTAAAAATATTTGTTCATGGCCTGTCGGTCCTCCAGAGGCGTGGATTTTTTAAAAATATTTTTTCATTGCCTGTCGGTCTTTCATATTTTTTTCATGTCCTGTCGATCTTTCAGAGGCTTGGATTTTTTAAAAATATTTTTTCATAGCCTGTCGGTCTTTCAGAGGGGTGGATTTTTTAAAAATATTTGTTCATGTCCTGTCGGTCTTTCAGAGGCGTGGATTTTTTAAAAATATTTTGTCATGGCCTGTCGGTCTTTCATATTTTTTTCATGTCCTGTCGATCTTTCAGAGGCTTGGATTTTTTAAAAATATTTTTTCATAGCCTGTCGGTCTTTCAGAGGGGTGGATTTTTTAAAAATATGTTTTCATGGCCTGTCGGTCCTTCAGAGGCGTTGATGTCTTAAAAATATTTTTCATGGTCTGTCGGTCTTTCAGAGGCGTGGATTTTTTTAAAATATTTTTTCATTGCCTGTCGGTCTTTCAGAGGCGTAGATTTTTTAAAAATATTTTTTCATGGCGTGTCGGTCGGATTTTTTAAAAATATATCTTTTTAGACCTATTAGAGACGAGGATTATTTAAAAATATTTTTTTCATGTCCTGTCGGTCTTCATATTTTTTTCATGTCCTGTTGATCTTTCATAGTTTTTTCATGTCCTGTCGGTCTTTCATATTTTGTTCATGTCCTGTCGGTCTTTCGGAGGCGTGGATTTTTTAAAAATATGTTTTCAAGGCTTCTCAAATGAGTGTATTTAAAAAAAAAAATTACGAGTTGTCTGAGGAGTGGATCTTTTAAAAATGCTTTTGAATAGCCTATCAGAGGCGTGGGTCTTATAAAAATATTTTGAAATTACCTCTATCTATCAAATGCGTGGATTTTTTAACATATTTTTTCAAGACCTCTCAGAGGTTTCGACTTTTTAAAAATCCTTTTCAAACATAGTTACAGGAGTGGATTTTTGAAAAAATATTTTCCATCGAAAATGCAATATGTTTTCCCATGTTAAGTTTAAGGTGTGAATTTTTTGAAAATATTTCTACAAGAAGTAGACCCCGCGATCTGTTCTTTATTCATAAAAATGTTGTATATTTATTTTAACAGATCTTCAACGACTGCAAATAGCCTTTGGCATTGTCTAACCAAACTGCATCATTCATCGCATATTAACTTCAAGCGAAAAGGGAATACAAAAGATTCCCGTCAATATGAGGAGGAGGAGGATACTTGTGGTGTGTTCTTAACACTAAAATTACCTTCGTTTATACCTGTTTGTATTGCAGCAAAACGAGATAGCCAGTTGATAGCTGGTTGATTCCTGATTATATTCCCTCTGCTGCATGCCATGAGTGGATGTGTGAGTGTGTGTGTGTGGGTTTGCGGAGGCAGGGTATGGGGTAAATTATACCACAAGGGCCGTTTTTCAACACCATATTGTGCTCCAACTGTATAATTAGTTTCATAATTATGGGTATATTTCACGCGCTTTTTGATCTTTTCTCGCGCCGTTCGACCGTTCGCCTGAACATCAACGTCAGGTCTGGCCAGGAAACCCAAGCACAAGAATTGAAAATAATTATCATATTAAATGACGACGGGTATTTTCAATGCTAACATAACACCTTGTTAGAAAATAACACCTTTATAACAAATAACAAGAAAAGAATGGAAGAACGAAAAAGAAACATTACAATAAATATAGGTCTGACGGACGGAACTATTGAACTGAGAATGATGGAAGTGTTGGGTGTTAGGGAGGGTGTTGGTTGAAAAACAGCAGGGTTATAATGTCCTATTAACCATGTGTTTTTTGGCTTGTTAAGGATAACACATTAGCTGGATGCCCCCTTTAGTGCTGCTCACTCTATCGCTCTCCTTCGCCACCCGATTCTTTGTATTCGACTGTCATGATAATCGTCCAATTAGCCAAACACAAAAAAACCCAGGCCATAATACACATCCGGTTACTAATCAAATATACTACTTGGCGTGACACATTATGAATATGCCATTTGACACGCTCCGCCCCCCCTCAGAGTCAATTACAGCCATTAAGCCGGTAATCGAAAGTCAAGTCGGAATGAAATGAAATGAAGCTAAGCCAAGGTGTTCCACAGACACACACCTTGTGCTGTTTTTTGTTTGTATTGAAGTGTTTGACCTGACCTGAATATAACCACCAAACCAGCCAGCCTGGTCATCATCCATCCATTCCATCCATGATAATTTCAACCTGTCACATAAAGAGTGACATTATTGATCAATAAATTACCAACAATAATAATTCAGGGGCCAGGATAACAAGAAGGATGCGTGTTATTGGGTCATATTTTGAAATTGAAATGATGGTTACATTGTCTTCTTTTGTGTGTGTGTGTTTAATGTCAGTCCCGACAATAATTTGTTGACATGTGCCAACTTTTTGACACTTTATGTGACACTTGCTCAGCCAGGTGCCTGATTTTTTTCCGTTTTTCAAATGTGACATCAAAACAAATTGGCCAACCTCAAAACGAAGGTGTAACGAGGTAATTGTGTATGCAAATTTCAATAATTTTAATAAGGAAATTACAATTATTTGAAATAATTCTTGTGACATATAAAATTTGACAGTGGGAACCCCTCTCCTAAAGGCACCAAATGGTCCTTTAAAATATGACCAGAATTTCTCTTCCTATGGCAGGAACAAGGATTTTGTTCAAAAAGATCAAACATTTTTTTTTTTATTTATTTTCCTATAGAATATCAGAAGTTCCTCGCGTAGGAGAACAAAAGGCTATTCTTATAGGAGTCCACAATGTCTTCTTATATAAAAAGTTAAGGCCTTCTAATAGAGATCGTTAAATTACTTCCAATTCCCTCAGAACATTTTATACCCTATGCATGACCGTTCGTCCGTCCGTCTGTCGATGTTAAATTGTAAACAAAGTACAGGTCGCATTTATAATCCGAATTGGATGAAATTTGGCATAGGTCACTTATTTGGCTCAAGGACGAACCCTATTGAAATTGGGAAAAATCGGTTCAGATTTAGATATAGCTCCCATATATATTTTCGTGCGATTTAATGTAAAAGGTCCCTATATATCTTTCGATTTGCACGAAATTTGGTACAGCGTAATGAATTAGGTCTAGAATGATGTGTGCAAAGTTTCGTGAAAATCGGTTCAAATTTGGATATAGCTCCCATATATATTTTCGTCCGATTTAAGGTAAATGGTGTACCAAAGTCCCTCTATGTCTTTCGATTTGCACGAAATTTGGCATAGCGTAATGAATTAGGTCTAGAATGATGTGTATTAAGTTTCGTGAAAATCGGTTCAGATTTGGATATAGCTCCCATAAATATTTTCGTCCGATTTTATCAAAATAGTGCACCAAAGTCCCTTTATAAGCTTTGATTTGCACAAAATTTGGCTTAGCGTACTAAGTTGAGTCAAGAATGATGAGTGGTGAGTTTCGGGAAAATCGGTCAATATTTCGATATAGCTCCCATATCGTCCGATTTTATGTAAATGATGCACCAATGTCCCTATATATCTTTCGATTTGCACGAAATTTGGTACAGCGTAATGAATTAGGTCTAGAATGATGTGTGCAAAGTTTCGTGAAAATCGGTTCAAATTTGGATATAGCTCCCATATATATTTTCGTCCGATTTAAGGTAAATGGTGTACCAAAGTCCCTCTATGTCTTTCGATTTGCACGAAATTTGGCATAGCGTAATGAATTAGGTCTAGAATGATGTGTATTAAGTTTCGTAAAAATCGGTTCAGATTTGGATATAGCTCCCATATATATTTTCGTCCGATTTTATCAAAATAGTGCACCAAAGTCCCTTTATAAGCTTCGATTTACACAAAATTTGGCTTAGCGTACTAAGTTGAGTCAAGAATGATGAGTGGTGAGTTTCGGGAAAATCGGTCAATATTTCGATATAGCTCCCATATCGTCCGATTTTATGTAAATGATGCACCAATGTCCCTATATATCCTTCGATTTGCACGAAATTTGGCACAGCGTACTGAATTAAGTCTAAAACGATGTATGTTAAATTTCGTGGATATCGGTTCAGATTTAGATATAGTTCTTATATATATTTTCGTCCGATTTTCGATAAATAGTGCACCAAAGTCCCTTTGTATCCTTCGATTTGCACGAAATTTCGCATAGCTTGCTAAATTAAGTCTAGAACGATGTGTGTTAAATTTCGTGAAAATCGGTTCAAATTTAGATATAGCTCCCACATATAGATTATATTTTTAACAACGCGGCGTACCGAATAGCGTGTATCAATTTTGCTATAAATCGTTTTCCATAAATTTTCCCCATGTTACGGAGGCGGCTCTAAATCTGCTCGAATGAAATTAAAGTTAGGATAGGTTGGATAAAGAGGAAACATAGACATGCAATTGTTAGGATACATATGTACAGTATACCCAAAGTGGTGAAGGGTATCATATAGTCGGCCCAGTCCGACTTTACTACTTTGCTTATTGGTCATTTATGATTTTTCAATACCCATTCGTGCATATCCTGTAAATAGAACACCATTTCACTGCGTCCGGTGATTTGTTTGAAGTGGTCTGGATGGAAAACAAAATACGACAAAGTAAATAAAATTGCCATTAAATCGATAAGCCATCCCTGAACTTCTATTGGAAAGGTACGAATATGAAGAATAAAATGAATTATTAAAATCAACCACTTTATTGCTTCATCGAATAAATATATTTTTGTTTCGGCAATTTGTCGTATTTTTTCGTTCAATTCTAAACTTAAGATTGCGGAGGCACAGTGTTATGAAATCAATAAAATTTGAGGATTTGATATTTTCTATTTATAGATAGGCTACAGGAGGTCCTTTTGCAATGGTAGAGCCTTCAAGCTATAGAAAATAAAGTGTAGGTATATCAGCTATAGAAGGAGCGACAAAGGGTTCGATAGCAATTAAAAATCGTCAACATGTATTCTGACTTTAGAAGAGCGACTTGAGATATCTAAACTATATAACAACGATAGGATGACTTCTACCCTATAGATACAGCTACATATACAGAATAGTTAAAGGATGTATTTTAGATTTGAAAAAAGTGACAGAAGGTCCTCAGGCTATAGACGAACAACAGTGGGTCTTCTAGCTATAGAAAAGCGACTGGGGACCTTCTATATATAGAAGAGCGATAGATGCCTCAAGGCTGTAGACGAGCGACTGGGGATCTTCAAGAGAGGTAGAAGGTCCTCTAGCTATAGGAGATCAACAAGTGATATTCTAGGTATAGACGAGCGGCAGTAGATCCCTTAGCTATAGAAAAGCAACATCACATGACTATAGAAGAGCAGACAGGAGGACTTCTAGGTACAACTAGAGGACCTAGCTATAGAAAAGCAACAGGAGGTCTATTGGCTACAGAAGAGCGACCGAAGGTCTTCTAGCTATAGACGAGCAACAAGAGGTCTTTCGGCAATAGAATAGCGGCAGGTGGTCTTCTGGCTATAGAAGGGCGACAGGAGGTTTTTCGGCTGTAAAAGCAGGAGGTCACCTGACTATAGAACAGCGACATGGGTCCTTCTGGCTATAGAAGAGGAACTGGATGTCTTTCGGTTATACAAGAGGAACTGGAGTTTTTTTTTTGGCTGTAGAAGAACGCCAGGAGGTGTTATGACTATAGATGAGTGGTAGGGGATCTTCAAGAGAGTTACAAGATCCTCCAGCTATAGAAGAGCAACAGGTGATATTCTAGGTACAGAAGAGCGGCAGTAGATCCCCTAGTTACATAGAAACTATATCACATGACTATAGAAGAGCAGACAGGAGGACTTCTAGGTACAGCTAGAGGACCTAGCTGTGGAAAAGCAACAGGAGGTCTTCTGGCTAAAGAAGAGTGACCGAAGGTCTTCTAGCTATAGACGAGCAATAATATGTATTTCGGCAATAAAAGACCGCAGGAAATCTTCTGGCTACAGAAGAGCGGCAGGAGATCTTCTGGATGTAGAAAAACGACAGGAGATTTTCCGGCTATAAAAGAGTTGCAGGAGGTCATCTGGCTATAGAACAACGACATGGGTCTTTCTGGCTATAGAAGAGGAACTGGAGGACTTTTGGCTATAGAAGAACGCCAGGAATTGTTATGACTATAGATGAGTGGTGGGGGATCTTCAAGAGAGTTAGAAGGTCCTCTAGCAATAGAAGAGCAACAGGTGATGTAGGAACAGAAGACCGGCAGTAGATACTTTAGCTATAGAGAATCAACATCACATCACTATAGAAGAGAAGACAGGAGGAGGTACAGCTAGAGGACCTAGCTATAGGAAAGCCAAAGGAGGTCTTCTGGCTACAGAAGTTATTGACGAGCAACAAGAGGTCTTTCGGCATGGTCTTATGGCTATAGAAGGGCGACAGGAGATTTTCATCAGGCTATAGAACAACGACATGGGTTCTTCTAGCTATAAAAGAATAACTAGATGTCTTCCGGCTATAGAAGAGGAACTGGAGGTCTTCTGGCTATTGAAGAGCGCCGGGAGGTATTCTGCCTATAGATGAGCGGCAGGTGGTCTTCTGGCTATAGGAGGGTGACAGGAGATCTTCTGGATTTAGAAAAACGACGGGAGGTTTTCCGGCTATAAAGAGTTGAAGAAGGTCTTCTAGCTACAGAAGAGCGACATGGGGTCTTCTGGCTATAGAAGAGGAACTGGAGATCTTCTGGATATAGAAGAGCGAAAGTAGGTCTTCTGGTTACAGAAGAGCGACCGAAGCTCATCTAGCTATAGACGAGCAACAAGAGGGGTTTCGGCAATAGAAGAGCGGCACGTGGTCTTTTGGAGATTTTCTGGATATTGAAAAGCAACAGGAGGTTTTCCGTCTATAAAACAGTTGCAGGAGGTCATCTGGCTATATAACAGTGACATGGGTCCTTCTGGCTATAGGGGAGGAACTGGAGGTCTTTTGGTCTTTAGAAGAACGCTAGGAGGTGTTATGACTATAGTTGAGTGGTAGGGCGGCCTTTTGGCTATACAAGAACAAATGTAGCACTTCTGGTTACAGAAGAGCGACCGAAGGTCTTCTAGCTATAGACGAGCAACACGAGGTCTTTCGGCAATAGAAGAGAGGCAGGTGGTCTTCTGGCTTTGATTTCTGACCTGCTATAAGAAGACCTGGTCTTTTTCAAGAAGATATTTTTGAAACTGTAAGGAGATTTTCTGGTCTTTTTTTAAAAATACCTTCTGGTTTTCCTTCGAAAGACCTTCTGGTCTCCAATCAGAGAGCCTTCCGGCTTTCCTTCGAAAGACCTTCTGGACTCCTTTTATATGAATCCTTGAGTCT